AGCTGCTATTATATAAAAATACAATTCTTGCAAATAAGAAATTAATATGTCAATATCGATCCTCCTAATCATTAACTCGTGTTTTTTTAAAATAATGTGTATGTGTGTGTGTGTGTGTGTGTGTGTGTGTGTGTGAATTTGTGCGTGCACGCGCAAGCGTGCGTGTAAGGCAGATTTGGAGCTCGAATCTTGCCGTGTTTAATGTTTCAAAAATCGATGTTGTTACTTGCGCTGTTTATATAATAAATGATGGTATCTTAAACATAACTAATCACGCCAAGTAATCGTTAAGGTCGAACCTTACGACGAAGGGAAATTCTCCAGTGCATGCCTTGCGATCGTCAGAATTCATTTCTCGCCGAAAATCTCCTGTTGCGCGTAATATTTAGCCTCCTTCGTACCATGTATGCCAAGAAGCATGATTCGGTTCCTCTGGGAATCTCAGCTTCGTAAACGCAACATCCGCCATATTCGAGAACGAACTGATCTTAGAGCGAGGATAATGAAAAGGGGAGGGACGCTACGTATTCCATTTTCAATTTCCAAGCGTATTAAACGGGTCCCCTCGATGCTCCAATCTTTCGTCTCGGCTTTTCTTTTCCACTTCGGGACACCAGCCAATGGCGTTGCGGCCCCTCGCCGCGCAACATCTATCATTTCCCTCGAGCCCGAGTAGCTGCAACATCCTAATGCATCTTAATGTTGGGAGGAGGGGGAGGGCGGAGGGAGGGAGGAAGCAGGGGAATAGCGCCATTTTCAGTTGAACACATCTTCACCAGCGAGCTCAGACCCAACTGACCCATCTACCCTTATGAAGCAGGGATTTGCGATATCGAGGTGGCGCGCACTTTATCGCAATTATTAGTTTGCTGTTATGATTCTTTTTTTTTTTTTTTTTTTTTTCAACGATGCTTCCTTTTCATTGCAATTTTCGTCTTGCGAGGGATAATATTTCGTTGCATAAAAATACTTGGGAGGCTTGAAGGCCGCGATTCGAGTCCCACGCAAGAATTCTTACAGCGGTATGTTTATTATTCATATTTTAAGGATTAAATATTGAAGTCAATCGGCCCGTCAATCGCTATTAAGTGTCTGCGCGTAAGTTTTCAATGTTACGTAATACCTTTCGTCATATTTCATAGCGATCGTTGTACGATCGTTATATTTTTGTTATTTATTTCATTCCGAAGCTGAGGGCAAAGTATAAATGTATAAAATTAGAACAGCCAAATTTATCAATATATTTCGCAAAGATAAAATATCAAAGTTATTTGACTTTTATTTGAAATTACCCAAGCGATAAAGCCAGACTTTTATTCAAATATTTAATTACTCGGCACGTCGGCACAGCACTTTTTTTTCGCATTAACCAGCGCAGCCGTTGAGTTTACTTTGTCTTGCTCTGTCTTACTTAACTCTCTCGAATTGATAAAAATAATTATTTATAGCTAATTGCATTAGATATTAATATCGAATAAAATAAAGCAAGTTCAGCTATTAAATTGGTTTTTTTTCTCCCGTAATTGAGCAATTCCCAATCAATCTGAAAACTTGGAAAGTTCAAAAAATCGTAAACTTCGTAATGAGTATTCGAAATTCAAAAAAGTAACACGAGGTTTGGCTTCAATTTAAAATTCAAGTCATTGCAAGAAGTATCTTTTAAATAGGCACAAATTGAAAAATTAGTTATACCAAGCAACGGCTTTTCAGCAATAAGAAAGTAAAAGTTAATAATCGAGCTCATTATAAGATGCCATTTAATTAACATGCATTGGTCTTTTCAAATTATTATTTATAATTTTAATTTTCATCGTGAGTTTAAATTAAATATCGGCAACTATTAAAATGTTAAATAATTCGTAGTCTCTTAGGCCTGCGACCTTTCGCTTCAACATTTCATTTATTCAAAGCATATCGAGATTTTCATTGGAGTTGGATGCGGCTACTACGCCTCGAAATTACTTTCCATAATTAAACGGAAAACATTGCTTTAAAAGGGGGAAAAAGTCTCCAACCCAAATAACGCTCACTATCTCATTGTAAAGCATATAAAATCGAGGAAATAAGAACAAATAAAATGGTGGACCGCGTCTAAAGGCTTCACGCGAACAACGAGTTTCTAGATTAAGCGGATCGAATTTAATTCCCGACGGCGTTTACTTGCCACAATAAGCCGCATTAAGCTCGAAAAATCAATTTCTTCTGCGCTCGCGGAATCCAGAATTACCAATAAAGCAACCGCACAGGGCCACGCGGGCACCCAAAGGCCGCGGGAGTGCATCGGAGCTCCTCTTCGCAAGCTTTTGTTCGCGGCTTCAGCTCGCGATCCATGTCACGTATATCGATTATACGTATCGGGACCCCCCCCCCCTCCCCCCTTGCCGCCCCACTCTCTTCACCTTATCCGAGCAGCCGATCCTCGCGCGCCACTTCTCTCGGCCGCATCACTCCGCGTTCTTTCTTTTTATCGACATCCAAAACGCATCTCAGGAATCTTTGATGCGCGCGCGCCGCGGCCTCTTCACAAAGAGCTTCCCCGGCACAGAACAATGAGACGCCGCCGCCGACGCCGCGGCGCGGTGCCGAGCTCAGCCAGACGGGAGATAGACATCGAACTACTGAAGGCCTTCGGACCAATCGAGATTGAGAATGTAAGGGAAGGGCGGGGGTGAGTGGGTGCCAAGATGGTGAGTGGAGGGCGGCGAGATGTCGGGGGAGCTGGGCACGTAGAGAGAGAGAGAGAGAGAGAGAGAGAGAGAGAGAGAGACGAGTCTGATGCCCGACCCGCCCAGGACGTCCCTGCAGCGTCATCCTCGTGGTCGTCGAGGATGAGCGGCGGCGGCTAAGTTCGCCCGAGGAAAGTATGTGAGCGCCGAAGAGACGTATGATGCGTGTATTACTTATGTCTTGTTCGTTTGGGAATTACCTGCTCCGTTCTTTTGTCCTTATATCAATGTGAAATGGAAATTTTTCCGTACTCGCTGTCTTGACCTGAAATTTTGTTGTTTCAACAGTGTATCTTGCCTTTGACGCCCTCGCGCTGCCCTTTTAATTACAATTATCTCCTCGTCGATGGTATATGATATTTTTATCGCAGTTTATCGTAATGAGCATGTAGTTTTGAGAAATCCCGATTTGAAAATCGATGCTGCATTGAATGCAATTCAATGCGGTTAATAGTCAAAGATATATAATTATACTTGGCAAAACTTAAAAGCTAGAATACTACATATCCAACAAAGAGAAAGTGCCTCAATTAATTTTGATTGAAAAAAAAATATTTGCTGTTTTTCTTCGCCTTCTTGTTTTTTTTTTGTTTTTTTTTTGTTTTTTTTTTTGTTTTTTGTTTAAGAGACCGTAACCAATTGCCTTAGGCTGAAAATCACCACGCAGTGACTTATAAATGCATTAATGATCGATTTTTCGCAAATCAATGACAAATCTATTTTCATTGATTAATTATATTTCAATTTATCAATTATGTCATTAACCCGTAAATTGGCGTCACTATTACAGGATTTTTGCTGTATTCAGACTTACGACTTTCTCGAAATGACAACTGGTATACATTACATGATGTCTTTCCAATGACCTTCCACGATGATTCATATGCTAGCATCACCGATGTAAATTTTCATTCATACCGAATCCTTAATCCTAAGTCCATTAAGTAAGTCCATTCTCAGCTAATATCGCATATATTTATACGTAAGATCGTCAAACGACGTATCATCCGTGTATTAGTTTCAAATGATTCTATCAACCACAATTAAATATCACCACGAAATAAATAGCCAAAACAATGAATCATAATTCTGAAAGTCAAACGATACGGAAAATGTCAAGAGCGCGCCAACGACGTGGAAGAAGTTAGAGGAGCGCGTAGTCCTGATCAATGGCAGCGCACACACACAATGACAATCACTAATTGGCATAGCTGTCAAATAAATACCGATGTCAGTGCACAAATTTCAGACTCGATCGACGACGACGCTCAGAATGGGGGAAGGAGATGCGGGCTACCACCGTGAACACGTCGGATTCCCAAGGTGCCTTGTTCTCGATAGCCTTTTGTTTGAGTCTTAACTCCTCTTCCCCTTGTCTCTCTCTCTCTCTCTCTCTCTCTTACTCTCTCACTCTCTCACTCTGCGTGTCTTTCTTTCGGCGAGCGCGCGCACTCGTGTGCGTAAAGATGCATGTTATATAAAACTGAGCTCCCAAATACTGATAAGAATCGAAAAGCTCCATGATGGAGTCTTACCGAGCCGGGATCATTACGAGGTTGGCGATACACCGCCGATTTCTTCCTCATCCTCTACCGCTCACCAGCGATCCTTATTATGACTGCGCACTCGCCGATCATGATGAATTGCGAAGGGTGGATCGTGGAACGAGCAACGAGCAACGAGCAACGAGCTTCATCCACTCTCATAACGACGCCATTGTTTTTAAATATCAGTGAATTTCTATGTCACTCGTTTTATGATTGACCGCTTGTAATGAGCATGTTCGCCATTTTTCATGCTCTCTCGAAATCAATGTAAACGAGGATCGGTCATTATAATTCTGCGCGATTTCAGTCATTCGAAACAAAAAAATTATAATAATACAATAATAATACAAATATATATGTATATATATATATATATATATATATATATATATATATACGAAGAACAAAAAAGTAAAAAAGTAAAAAAAAAAATAGAAAAAAAAACAATAATAGAACTGTCTTTCGCACGTTTGCCATGCTTTGTCCACTTTACTTTACCCTCTAACCTCTTTATTCTCTAGCCTACCTTTCCAGACGCAATCCCACGATTAATGGATTAGGCAAGATAGACTACGTGGTCTTATCGATAAATAAAAATAATTCTGAAGATTTCTGAAGACACCTCGTGGGCACTTCATTCGAATGGAATTAACTCGATTATAAATACGTACGGATAACCGTATAAAGGGTTTATGCAAGAAACTGCTCTAGAGTCATCCGAACCTACCTTATCGTTAGCTGCATTAATGGCTTCCAAGGTTTTGAGCTTCTCGATATCATCCTCGGATTCTTTTTTCGATGAGGTAGCTGCGATTTTTGCCGTAGGCGTGGGATCAACTAACGTAAAGCCCAAATCAACATCTTGCTTCCACAAAACCTCAATTAAATCCATGTCCTATGAGTATAAAATATTAATTCATTGATTAATAATAATGCATTAATAGTGAACGTATTATTCTAATTTTCAGTATTATCATTACATATACATCATTTTCATTACTAATACGTGTACTTAATTATTATTGTGTATTATGTATTTGATTTATTTTTTTCTCTATATTGGATTCGCTCTTATTTTTCATGAGAGTTAATATATTAATGAAATCTCGAGCCTGAAGACGATAAAAGTCGTAAAAGTCTCACTCGTACTATATGAATAACAATCGATACTGGGACAAATTATATCGAAAATTATAATTTCAGTTCTGTTATTTTGAATGTTTAATCAAAATATAGTATTATATTTAAATATCACTAAGTTTTTTTATTTTTTTTTTTTTATTTTTTTTTTTTTTTTATGAGAATATAAAGATTGGGAAAAATAAGATTAAGGATTCGTCGTTTATCCATTAAAGAGGTTCTCCTACCTTGTCTTACAGGTAATTGATTTTTTTATATGAAATAAAGTAACAATCAACATTAGATCAAATTACCCGAAAAAAAAAAAAAAAAAAAAAACGAAAAACAGACTGAGCTCGAACAGATATTCTTAGATGCTGATGAATAGATTTTTTTACAAAACCAATCGTCATTTATTTTATCTTTGAAATGCGAGAAAATTTTTAATTAATGTTTATTAATAATGTAATCTCCATGCAGTTAATACATGTTATGGGTACGAAAATTTTGTTATTATACTCGTACAATAATAAAACAATAACAATTCGCTACAATACTAAATGTTGGCATTCCGCGATCACATTCCTTCACAATAATTCCAATGATAATAATCCAATGATTGCAATCAATTTTTTTAAAATAATAAATTTCATAATATGCTAATTCGATTATTAATTTTTTTGTCCTTTTTCTTATATAAACGTAAAATTTTTCGTACTATGTCGCTTGCATTTTGTTCGCATATTCTTACATGATTAAATTTTATTCCCCAGTACTTACTTCACATTACAATCACGAATACAAATTTTCATAAGCCGACAGTCCTCGTATTACATATCAAATATATTATATTCCAGAGGACATGCGAAATTCTTAGCGGACGTAGAGTATAACATTCCCGAAAATATCGACGACTTAGCACGTTGTTGCATTAAAAGCGAGCAATTGTCATTGGTCGATAATAATCTTAATATTGAAATAAACAGTTTTTAAATTGCCACATCCACGGTCCGCGTTTATAAAGTTGCGAGAGGCAAGTTGTTGCTGTACGTAGTGGATTTATTGCGTAAGCGTGAGCGAGGAGAGAAGCAAAGTCAACGGAGGAAGCGGCGCTCGCTCGCCAAGTTCCCCCTTGTAAATTTCTTTCCGCACTCGGAAAAAGCCGGTGCGCCGTGCTTGGGGTCTCGGGCTCGCCGAGTCCCGATTAAATCGAGTGACTATATTCAAAAGTCGGTATCGCTCATCCGTGGCACTTCCTTGGCCAAAGTTAATCTCGCTACTTCGACGGCAACGCGCGAATCGTCGAGCTTCCTCGACACGCTTTCATCGTCCTCCCCCGCAGCGCGGCAGCACGCCCCGCGCAAATATGCATTGTCGTCGCTCGCGTCGAAGCGTCGCCGAGAAACTCGGTGACTTTTCTCATCGGCGCCTTTTTACCGCCCCACGCTGCTCTGACTTTCGCGAGATGATACGACGCGGAAAAAGCGGCGCCCCACTTCTACCCCGGACTTTCTATGGCGCTCGCCGGAGTGGAGAAAGAAAGGCGCGAGTGAGGCTTGCAAAAATGTTGCGAAACTTTGGAAAGCAAGAAAGTGCGGCCGATCGCTCGGCGGCGCAGGAAGGAAGCCTCGCGCATTTATCAGGGGGACCCGCGCGTTTTTTTGCGAAAAAAAAAAAAAAAAAAAAAAAAAAAAAAAAAAAAAAAAAAAAAAAAAAAAAACTGGCGATAAACGAGCTTCTGACGTCCGTTTACCTTACCATTATTGCGACGTTTTAATTTTTGTTTTTGTTTTTTTTTTCTTTGTTTCGTTCGCTGCGTTTCCTTCTTCACTACATTTCCATTCCCTGTCCTTCTCCCAACTCATTAGCTTTATTCCTCCAATCCCATTGCGGTTTTTCCGTCTTTGGGATGCTTCGACTGAAAAACTGAAATTCTCGTGTCAATGGGCAACTTTCTCTTCCCCCCGACTATTCTCATCAATATTTTACATTATTCAACATCTTTTTAGATTTATATTGATCGGACAAGCAGTTAATGGGAATGTTTTTAAAAAATTTTCGGACAACATGTTATCGTGGATTTTTCCGTGGTAGCCGAAGATTAAAAACCAACTATGAACATTTTGGACGATCATGCGCTATAAGCGAAAAGATGAAATATTAATGAATCCGTCTAAATTTTATGATTGAAAGCTGATATTTGTTGATTTTCATTGTGGTGAACGAGCACAGATAACATCGATCGACATTCGTGGAGAGCTCATCGAGAGTAGTCAGCCGAGCTCGTAGCGAAAAGTGCACGAGTTGCATAAAGTGGCGAATAATGGCGTAACGCGAATTACAATCAGCCAACGTGAAGTTAAAAAAAGATGATATAAATAAAAAAATTGCAATTAGTATGCAGTACGACTGTCAATGGTAATAAGGCGAAAATGATTAAAAGTGCCCGTCGTCCAGGTTCATGCCTCGTGTTTTCCTCTCTTTTTCCCACATAAAATCGATTTACCTTTCGCACGTAATAATAAACGTCGATCTAGATCCGGTGATTCCGTCAACTACTTGTAAAAAAAGTCCGACAGCGGCCCGTCGGGAATATCGATTATCAGCCACTTCTCTCCACTCCATTACACGCGTCTCCTCTCCCCGATTTAGTAGAAAGTCATTTTCCGCGCATCTCGTGGCCGTATTATCACACATTGGGCACTCGCGCGCTCCGTAAATGCCCACCGCGATGATGAGTGAATTTTAGGTGACCCGGGACCTGCCCCTTCATTTTCGCCACCATAAATTCTAGGGCTTTCACCGAATTGCCGCCAAGGCGTGAACGCCAAAACTTTTCATCATTCAACGTGTGTCAAACGTGTAGAAATGTCGAACCCAATGGACCACGTAAACATAAGTTCGCGCAAGACCAAACAAATGCCGCAGCCGTGATCTCGCCTATTTCAATAGACGACGGGGGTACCGTGGCAGAATGATCGGGGTGGAGGGGGTCGGAGGGGTGAACAGACGAATCAAGAAAAGGCATGGCAATCACCGATTGATGAAACGAGTTTCGTATTCGCGAACAATGTACGGAGGCGTCTCCGCCTTAGCCGAGCGCGAACAGATGTTTATAATACGCATTATGTGCGAAGTTGAAGTTCGATCGTTGGATTGATCGCAACTCGAAGCTGCGCCGTCTTGATAAGCTCTGTCGACTTCCCGGCGAATGTAAAATCGCAGAGTCCTGTCGCTAAATTAATAATCCACGCTCCCGAGATACTTGACGGCAGTTTAATGCGATAGCCGAGGAAATTGGAAAAGAGGGCGGGCAAGGAGAGTCGCTCGATTTGTTTGTCAAGTAAGCTTTAAATGCAAATGAGATCGACGTGCGAGTAGCGTTATCGTTGATCGATCGATAGGCAAAGATCGAGGAGACAATGTTTGTAGCGACAATTCACGGCGATCCGTTGAATAGATGAAACTCTTGACGGATAATAAAAACGCTCGTTCCCGTGACAGCGCATGCGCCCGAGGCGGGACATTCGAGCCCCGATTTGTCGTATCGTACACGACGATCGGATGCTGAGAAAGGGTCATCTGTGAAGCTCGACGAAGCTCGAGGACTACGCCTCGTGCTTACTTTCTCCCTATCTCTTGCGAAGTTTGGAGAAAGCCAGGAAGGGGCCGATCGAGATACACGCACGCGGGTGTGGGCGAGGAGTCGGTCGGCCATGCTTGTAGTCCGCGCTGCGGGACGTCCGCCGCGCCCACGCACGCGCATAAGATAGATAGATAGATAGATAGATAGATAGATAGAGAGAGAGAGAGAGAGAGAGAGAGAGAGAGAGAGAGAGAAGAGAGAGAGAGAGAATGAGTCGATCGCTCGACTCATATCGATTATTTTCGTAAGATTTCGCGTTGGCTCGCAATTAGCCAAGCGACCCGGCTAACGAGTTTTATTGGGGCACCGGAACCGCTGGATCTCGAGTTTAATGTGGATTTCACGCTCGCTGGAAGAAAAAGTGCCAGCCCGCGGTGTACGCTCAAGGATTTTACGGCAATAATAAGCGATTGGACGTGAAGTTTTGAGTTTAGTCGTCGGAACGTTGTCACTACATTTAATTGCATTTAAGGCATTGCTCCTTTCAATTATTTGAGATACATTTTATGCGACGAGGCAACATTTTTTTGTCGATGATGCGAGTGTTACTCGATGATCCTGTATAATCATTAACCTCTGTATTATTCATGCACTTGGAAAATCTATTGGAGGCGTAAGAAAAATCTTGCTATATTGACTTTTAAATGAAAAAAATGCAAGGATGTGTCATTTTGAGCGACCGTTTTTTTTGTTTTGTTTTTGTTTTATTATCTCGATCGTAAGAAGGCTTTTGAGATATTAAAGGTCAAATGCGTTTACCATTTCTATCAACCAGCACGACTGAGTGATGACAAGCGTGTGATAACGATCCAACAAAAACAAAAAACAAAAAACAAAAACAAAAAAAAACAAAAAACAAAAATAGAATAAAATAGAAGCTTATACTTTAAGATTAAATTCTTGTAATTTTAAAATTATCACTTTAATGAATGGAGGATTAAGGAGAAATTGTAAAATCATTGTGTACATAAAAATATTTGTAACTTGTGACGAATTTTGTCGACTCCGTCAATGTGAGCATTACGTTGCGTATATTACGTCTGTTACAAAAATTCAACTTGATTTAATGATTTACAGCTTGTTAAACATTTTTATTATAATAATGATTAGGCTGAGAATCGACTATTATA